GGTCTAGCTGTGAGGGTGAAAGACACATACACAGCACATAGCTTCGGAATGCCGGCTCTGCACTGGACACTGCAGCGGGCTTTCTGACGGGATGTTGGACAAGACAGGTTGTCATGGTCTTCCGGGGCTTCACAGTCTACCTCTGTAAGTGCCAGGCATTCAGAGGTCCCTGAAATAAAACACCACACCAGTCACCTCTCCTTTTCCATCTTTTCTTGCCATATACAAAGGACTCCAGAAATGTGGAAATACTGCTGCACAGTTACCTATATAGTATCAAGGGGGGACAAAGATGTTTGCTTAGAAAACAAACCCAAAAAAGTAGTATAAATCAGTTGTTTAAATATAATATCAGAGAACTGCTTTCTCACTTTCTTTCTTTCTTTCTTCTTTTGTGTGTGTATGTACACATGTGTGCACTGAGGATTGAATCCAAGACCTTCCCACTGAGCTACATCCACAGCCCTTTTTATTTATTTTTTTCTTTTGGGGTAACTCTCACTGAGTTATCCAGGCTAAGCTCAATCTTGCAATCCTCCTGCCTCAGCCTCCCAGACTACTGCAATGATAGGCATGTACCACTATACCTGGCTTTCAGGGAACATATTTTGAACTATAGAACGGGCTCATTTCTATTGGGTCCCGTGGCAAGTTTGACACACGACCTGCTTGGCAGATCTGTACTCCCCCTGCATTTGGGGGGCCTGGAAGATACAAAATTGTGACTCCTGCCAGGAATCTGGCTTTTTGTGTGGACTTTGTCATCCATACTCAGCTTGTGTGAAGCCTGGAGCAAGCATGGTGAGCAGCAGCCCCAGCAGGACATGGAAGGAGGTGCTGGGAGCCGCATGCTGGCCAGGCCCTGGTGAGCCCTTGCCTGGCTGTATGGGTGGAAATTAGATCTCAGAGGCAGCCAGCCAGGGCCCGGGGCTGTTGAAAGCACCTCGGTCCCCCGGGCCAGAGCCCCGTATTGAAGGAGGAAAGGCCCCTGGTCCCCAGGGACGCCGAGGGTCTGCAGAGGCAGGCAGCCTTCCTGGTCCCTGGTCAGGAGACCCCGTGCTGCCTGCCAGCCCGGCTGCCACTCTGACGTCTTCTGCCCCTCTTTGCACAGTTAGTGGTGTGTTGAGTCCTTTGAGCTGAGACAAGGAAAGCAAGGCCTCCCTGTCCTGGTCGTCAGCAGGAGGAGGGGATGCATAGAAGCCAGGGAGAGAGGAGAGCAGGGAATGGGGAGCCAGGAGCAGGTGGAGGAGGAGGCAGGAGGGAGGCGCAGGGATTGGAGGGACAGTGACGATGACAGCACACCCCGTGCCCCCGAGGGTCTCTGTCCTGTTGGCCTGCACTTATCTCTGCATCTGTTTCCCCCTGAGGCAAATTCAGAACTGCTTGCTCCAGAGAAACAATAAAAGCATTCATGTTTATAGGAACCACACAGGGGAAAGTCAGTTCCCTGTTAGCACTGTGCTTTCTGCTGTAGATTTGTGGGCTCTCTCCTGAGATGGTCTGGGTGTTCCAGGCAGAGCAGAAAATCACAGTACGTCTGTGTGAAGCCACCCTCTGCCCTTTCCCGTTGCAGACCTAATGATCTTGAGTTTTCCTCTTGGTGGAAGTTTGGGGAACACAGTATTCATTTGCTTTGAGGATTAAGTCTTTCCACTGAGCACACCCTTCTTTTAGCTGGAACCCTGGCAAAATGAAAGTGCACCTTCTGCAGGGCCTCTGTGGGGGAAGAGAGGCTGCATGGTGCCTGGTGGAGCAGATGCAGGCCCTGTGAATACCGGGCTAGGGTGATATTCAAGGGCCCTGCAGGACACTCTGGTGCCCTTTGAGAAGCTGCATCTCAGAAGAGGCCAGATTTCCTTCCCCTTTGCCATTCTTTGGTTATTACTCTTTTGGTCTTGACCTAAAAGCAGTCATCTTATGATGAAGTCACTGCTCTTTCATCCCAAGAGATGCGAATCTGGAGGCTGGGGGAGTTTGGGGGACCTCGTTAAATCATCTCTGCGACATCAGGCAAGTCAGGCCACAGGATTCACAGGGCCCCATGAGACTGAAATTTCGGGCTCAGGAATTAGTAATAATTTCACCACGGTGGAGATGACCTTCTGAACACAGACACCCTGGGCAGCTGTGCCGTGGGTCATAAGCCAATGAAGGCACCCCCAGGGCAGAGAAGGTCTGGGTGAAATTATGTGAGAAAATCCAAGTGGTGCCACTTGCGTCACCAGGGACCACGTGTCAGGTGGGCAGCAGCCTGGAGCTCTCAGCAGCCCACATGCATAGAGGCCGCCCTCCCCAGGGGGCCCCGCTGCACACTTTCTGGGTGCTGTGGCCTCGAGGGCCCCACTCGGATCCCTTGTAAAATGGAATCTGGAGGGTTCTAGGTGTCCCTCAGAGCACACTGCCCATCGGCCCCTCCACTCCATCCCCGGGTGTCCGGGCAGCTGTCAGCCAGTCCTTAGGAAACATTTCTTCCCCCTAGATGGAACTAACCTGAGTACATAGTACTATGAGATCGAATAAATCAACTGAGTGCTTCCTCACCATTAAAATCATAAGGATGAGGATGTGTGTTTATGAAACAAAAAGATACATAAACGGAAGGGTATTTTGAAACAGTATGCTTGGAATATACTTAGTGTCATATTTTTGTACAAAACACAGAAACTCACAGAGAAGTGATGAGTTCTCAAGTGAATATTACAGGCATTTTCTTACTTTTTAAAAAAGCTGTGACGACTTACTCATGTAGGAGTTCAAAGCCAGTGTTACAGAAATTTCATGTTGAAGTCAGCATTGCAACAAGAATTGCAGCTGATAAACACAGGGCGCAGTGGGATGTCTTGGGCAGGCTGTCGAGGGTCACAGGAAGAGGCTGCACTCATCTGTGGAGCGGAGCTGCGTCCTTAGTTCCCATCTGAGCGCTGCTTGGCCCTTGGGGTCTCTTTTCTTCATCATGGTTTTGTTGATCTTGGAAGAATCATGGCTTCCTGCCTTTTCTTATGGTAAAAATCTATACCAAAGTGGGTGTGGTGAGCATGCCTCCAATCCCAGCCACCCAGGAGGCTGAGGCAGAAGGATTGCAAGTTCAAGGCCAGCCCAAGTAACTTAGTCCTGAGTTCAATCCCCAGCACTGCAAAAATGGAAAGTGTAGGGGACTCTGGACACAGGGCTGTGAGGTCACATTGGGGCAGGTTTGGGCCTCCTCTGGGGCTGCTTCAGTGGCTGTGGACCCTCTCTCTGAGCCTGGAGGCCCCAGGGGCCAGGAGCCTTTGGCTCTTCTGTGGCCACAGGTGTGTCCTCACCCAAGCACCAGCCTTGCAAATCCGTCCCATGGATGCTCATAAAGCCTCTCCATCCAGAAGAGGGACTGTCATTTATGTCTCCTTTGTGACTCATAGTGAGACTCCTGAAACTGAAAATCATGCTACTTATGTATCCTAAGACATATTCAAAACATGATGTATAAATCTGCATATATAGCACATATCTGTACATATAAGATACATAAAATGATAAATGTCACACAGAACATTCATTCATTTGTATCATCTATAATTACATATAAAAGTGATACATGGGCCGGGAATTTAGCTCAGTGGTTCCGCCACCTGCCTCTCAAGTGCAAGGTCCCGAATTCGATCCCCAGTACCAAAAAAAAAAAGTGATATATTTAACACATGTGTCACTATGTGTATAATGTATTTATATATAAAATGTGGCATCCATGTCATCTACATCATGTGTATCGCACATGTTTATACATATCAAATGACATAGTTGCATATACATGTATACTGTATATTATTTGTATGTAAATAAATGTGCTGTCGTTATACATTGTTACACACATATATACACTGTGCAGTTTTTAGCCTAAGTGGAAGGGGACGGTCCCCAAATCCTCCTGAGTCTCGAGGTCTCAGCTCACATCTATGCTTTGAGCCATGATGACAGAGGTG